CGATTTCTGACCTAAAAGTGGCAATTCTTCAACAAAAAGACTTCAGAAACAGACTCCAAGGAGAGACTGCTGAATTGGAATTAATTTGCAAATTGGATACAATTAACTTACACAAAGTAAAACTATTTCCCCATGTTTATTCCCCGCCCCCCCCCACACTGTTCCTCAGGCGTTCTTGTTAACTGCTGGAAATGGCCCTCCTTGATTATCACTACAAAGGATTCCCCCCCACACACTCTCCTGCTGGTAATAGCTCATCTTAAGTGATCACTCTCCTTACAGTGTGCATGATAAACACCCATTTTTTCATGTTCTGTGTGTATATAAATCTCCTCACTGTTTTTTCCACTGAATGCATCCGATGAAGTGAGCTGTAGCTCACGAAAGCTTATGCTCAAATAAATTAGTTAGTCTCTAAGGTGCCAAAAGTCCTCCTTTTCTTTTTGCTGACATTGAAATACAAGCACCTTGGAGATCATTTCTGGAGTGATGTTTTTAAATTGTTTCCCTATCCATTTGCAAGGTTCTCATCCCTGCAGTTTTTCATAGCTGCTTTTCGGCAACCTCTAATCAATCTGACATGACCGATCTCACCACAGAAACTCCAAGAGGCACGATCTGGGATCCCTGACGACAGGGTGACCAGATAGCAACTGTGAAAAAACGGGATGGGGGTGGTGGACAATAGGCACCTGTATAAGAAAAAGTCCCAAAAAACGGAACTGTCCCTATAAAAACAGGACATCTGGTCACCCTACCTGACAAGAATTAGCATGTAAACAGAACTTCTGGTCTCGGCAAAGAAGGGGAGACAGGAACAGAGCCTTCACAACAAAGTCTCTGTCCTCCAATTGCCGAGTCATTGCCACCTTCTGCCCCAACAGTCAGCTGTCAGATATTTGTGCTTAAGAAACAGGACTTCATTCTTTCATGAGGCACCTTTCCCCTCTGACATGCTAACCTGCCCAACATCGTAATCGGCTCTTATTCAATTTCAAGATAAGGGACCTTTGACCTGAACATAAGGATAAGAGATCTTAAAATAAACAGCAAAAACATGCCTACGTTAAAATACTGGGTGAGGCCTTGGCAAAACGTCTAAGAGACTTTATCTGAAAGAAGCACCTTCAGAGAAACAAGACTCGGACACAAGCAAGGCATCATCCTTCTCTGTTCTATATGGTGTCAGCCCATGCGCATGCTAAATTAGAGACCACTGCTGTGGCTAAGATTGGTGAACACAAGCCAGACATCTGAAAAGTGTTCTATGGGAGCTTATAGAGGCTTTCTTTCTCCAGAGTCAAGAATGAGGTTATTTGGGGAAGCTCCCCTTTGTACAGGGGCAAAGCTTTGTCTTAGTCTTATCAGAACACACTCTGGCTGAGCAGCGGGTTTAGGCTGAGGTCAGGCAAACGGCTGTCTCAGTCTGTCTAGATTGTCTGAGTGGCTCTAAAGCCTTTTCATATTAGGTCGCTTAGAAGACTTACACACCTCCCTCCTGAAGCCCCCAGGTCTGATTGAATAGCCTCCTAGCAGCCACCCTAATAGTTTGCTACATGAGAAGCACAACATGAAGGTTACAAGGGGTAAAGATCAGCTCATTCCAGCCTGGGGCATGCTGCTGCCAGGCTTCCTTCCCCCGCAGCGTGGCCATGTGTTGTGAAGTCCTCTTAGAGGCAGAACATAGGCTGAGCTGCTGGAGATTTCTAGGGTCTACTTCTCCTCTCCCTTATACCAGTATAATCCAAGAGCAACTGCACTCAAACCACTGAGTTTGAGTTTCACCCATGCAACCAACATCAGAATCAGGCCCATAGGCTGTGTGTGACTGGGAAGGAAGCAGAAAGCCAATGTTCAGCCTCCTAATGATTTGTTGCATTAAACAGCTGTCTGCCGCTTGCCTCCTGGCAATTATTTGATCCCAGTCTCTGAGAGCTAACCTGCTGCTGGAGCCCCCATGGCTCTCCCTAGAGAGCTGGAAAGAGTTTTTAAAATCCAAACCCAACCCGTGTTGTATTTGACAAGAAAGAGATGAACGCAGCCGAGGGGCCACTATTCAGACAGACTGCGGTTCTCTTTCCTGTATCAGGGCGATAAAAGGACAGTGTTTGCTAACCTGGGACAGCCTTTGAGCCTCAGAGCACAGAAGCAGGCAGCTTTGCTGACAGCGCTTTGGAAAGCAAGCGGTCAGCAGATTGGAACTTGCAGAGAGAAGACATTTTAGCAAGATGAAACGGTTCTCTGGCCTGGGAGAGGGCAAAGCCAACTGAGGCCAAGGGCTTCAGAGGAACAACCCACTGGCCCTAGAACCACAGCTCAATAAACAAAGAGTATCTCAGCACCAGAGTCACTCCCTCATTCCAGGAGTAATCCAGCCCCTGAGAGAGTAGCTCACTCCATGTGCTTCCATTTATAAGCCCTGGATTTCCTCTCTAATGGGGTAATTAACCCAAGGTGAGCCCAGCCCCCAGGACTGGGCTCCCGGTAGTAAAGTCAGGCAGGTGATGAAGGCGTATCTGCTAAAGGAGAGGAGGACTTGTGGCACCTTAGAGACTAACCAATTTATTTGAGCATAAGCTTTTGTGAGCTACAGCTCACTTCATCGGATGAGATTTTAACCCTTTTCCTGCCAGCCACAAGGGGTGACTGACACACTGTTCCACAGCTCATTGTTGATTAGATTTAACCCCATCCCTGAGACTGCTCTAACACCTCCTTTCCAGAAGCAAGTGCCGGTGTCCCTTGAGCTCACGTCCTCTGTGTTTCCATCACTTTCCCTGGCAGTTCATAATTATTACTCTTCAGGTGTTTGGGTTCATTATTTACTCCTGCTTTTTAGGCCATGTGCTGTACTTTCTGAAATGCTGCCTGCTGGACAATTTCCCCAAGCTGCTTTATTAACCCCTTCTTCACCATTTTGAACCCTCTGGACACTGCTTTCTCAGCGCCTGTGAGCCTGCCTGTGCTAACCACAGCCAGCCTTAGCCTGGGCCACATGTGCAGCCCCACAGAACTCTCCTCACGCTTACAGTTCTTTAAGAAACCCGGGCGCGGGAGCGGGTTTTTCTAAGAAAGCAAAAAGACAGGCAGACGTGAGAGAGAATAAGTACAGGAGGGAGAGAAAGCGAGCACACACTAGCTTTAAAAGAAAAATAGAAACAAAGTGAGACAGCAAATGGGGGGGGGGGGGCCTCTCCCCAGCAGACATCTCCCACCAGCCCTGCAAGCTGCAGGGAAAGTAGAAGGCAGAATGCTGTTGCTTTTGGGATTTGCGTCTTTCTTTTGTTCTCTTGGGCTTGACGGTTTGTCTTTTAAAACATTGTCACAGCAGCAAGTAATTTGTTTGCTGGCCTGTCAAGCCCTGATTCAGGGACGAGAGGCAGATTTAAGAATAATTAGCGGGGTTGAGGGACAGATCCAACACCCACTGAAAGCAACGGAAAGGCTTCCACTGACCCCAGTGGAAAAGTGCTCAGGCCCTGAGTCTGGAAAGTGCTTAGGCCCAGGTCCTCAAAGGTTTTTAGGCTCCTCCTGACTGCCACTGATTCCAATGGACATTGGGAGCCTAAATACCTTTGTGGATCTGGGCCTTAGCTACCTGCTTAAATCTATCCCACATTCATTGAAGTTAATGGGATCTACGCAGGTACTTTCCCAAACACGGGACTTAAAAAGGGGAAAATGGAAATGCGGGTGTGGCTGGAGTCAGTAACCATAGGGGGAAAGAGGCCCTGCTGCAGCCCCTCTAGCCCCCACTAGCAGGCTGCCCGTCAATCGTCCGATTGAAAGGCCTCGCCAAAGATACCCTCCTTTCCTAGCATCGGTGTCTATTCCGGTGCTGGCACTCTGGGGACTTGTATTCAGTTAATAGCACTTGTAACAGAGAGTGTGGTTAAAGGAATTGGTTACTAGGACGATTTTTACGAGTAGCTCTGGTTTGTTTTGTCCGTCCACTCCTGGGAGGTTTGAACGTGTCCCTGTGACGGTTGTTTGGCATGTGCTAGGCCCTGTACAGCCACTGCACAAAGACAGTCCCTGTCCGAGAGGCTCACACGTGACACATCAGGTAGGACGCCGAGGGGTGGGGGCGGGTTGTGAAAAGGGGATTTTGTGAATAGCTTTTCCAGCAGAATAGTCAAATGGCTTGTTAGGCGCAGCAGGCAGAGTGGGACGTGGCTGAGATACCCTAGGGGTGAGATGGGGCCGGCCCCTCAGCCTTTCCGAGGCCATGCGTGGGGGTGCGTGTTGGGGGGGGATCAGCGAGAGCTTTTTCTGGATCCACCTTGTTCTTGCAGTCGGTAAATTGCTTCCTGGATGCTTTGTCAGCCAAGTGCCCCTCTGTAGGCCGGTCCCAGGCAATGCTTTCTCAGCCATGCATGCCTGCCTCTGCCCTTAAGAGTTTTGATTTTTGACCCAAGAATTCGGTTTGGCCAGCTCTGCTCCACGGGGCAGCTCTCTTCAGCCTCACTGGGCTGTCTCCTCTCACTCCCCCGGTCAGATTAGTGCTACTGCCTCTGGCGGTGCCCTTTGCGTTTGTCATACACAAAAACCTGGCACTGCTACAGGGCCTTTCATCTACACATATTAATTAATGAAGCCTCATGACTCCTCTATGAGCTAGGCAGGAATTACTATTATTAACAACGGATGGATGGGTAAATTGCGTCATGCAGCGGTTGAATGGCTTACCCTAGCTCACCCAACCGGTCAGTAGCAAAGCTGAGAAATGACCACAGGACATGACACCCATTCCCTAATCTAACCACACTCTCTGTAAAGAGACACAATCCTGCTAAACCAGACACACTCCCTCTCTTCACATCCTGATCCACACACAGGTAGCTAGGACCCAGTTGTTTAGAAAGCAAAGCCACTGTAACAAAACATTATGAAACCAGCCAGAGAAGGGGTTTGTTTAAAGGCAAGGAGCAAGACCAGGACACAACCCAACCAAAAATAAGAGTTCAGTGGGGGGAAAATAAAGCCATGTGGTTGCTTACCCTCGGGAAAGCTGGGATGGTAGCTGGGAGCTGTTCACCTTCTGCCAGTGACACAAAGGACGGCTCTTTCGTCCCACTCGCCTCGTCCACGCTTGCAAATGGATTTCAGAAGTAAGAACTTCCAGGCAGGGGTTAGTGGCTGTTAAACTTTATAAATGGGAGTGGTCAGAAACAGAGCAGTGACTCCAGAGTCTGATGTAAGGAACTTGCAGCTCTTTGAACACCTGCAGTGGTGTTGGAAAATGGCTTCCCTGCCCGTTTTTCTTTCCCTTGCTCTTTTTGGGTTTCTTTTCCCACCCTGGGTGATTTACTGCTCACAGGAGAAAGCTGAGAACAGAGCAGTTAGACTTTTTGCAGGCTGTATTTTCTCACGGCAGGGAAAGTGGAATATAGCACAGAGAAAGGTAAAAGGTCTCACTTGAATTGGGGTGGTTCCTTGGCATCATGTTGTCCCAGGGCTGACGCCCTGCTGGACGCGCTGTTTTTGCAACGCTGTGGCCAACATGCTGACAGCAGTGAGCTCTGCCCCACAGTGGGGCATAGAGCACCATTGCTCACTGCTCATCACAGCCAGCGGGAAAGTTCAGCCCTGGGGCCAGACTGATGGGCCTAGGGCAGCCACAGCCGAGCGCAGGCCCAGGCGTGCTCCGAGTTCCCTGGGCTGCGAGGGGCAGTGTACGTGACTCCTGAGGGGAGGCCGGCTCCTGGCATTGCCTGAGCGTCCATGTGTTGCCTTGGACAGTGCTCGGAGCCGCTCCAGAGAGAGACATGTCCGGCCCGTCTCAGCCAGAGGTGTGTTGTTGCCCATGGACAGTGGGGTGGTTCCCCCAAGGAACCGCTCCACCCCCTGATTATAAATAATTCAGTTTCCTTCTCTATGGCTTTGTTGTGTCCCTTACTGGAGGCTTTGTCTTAGATTTTGAAGGCTAGTGCCACACAAACTGCATGGACTTTAGCAGGTTCAGACATAGGTGCGGGAACTAGGGGTCCTGGGGATGCTACCACACCCCCCGGCTTGAAGTGGTTTCCATCCTATGCAGGGTTGACAGTTTGATTCAATGGCTCTCAGCACCCCCACTACACAAATTGTTCCAGCCCCTCTGGGTTCAGAGCCCTGTTGCTCCTGATGCTTTTTCTTGCTGAGAAATGACTAACCGAATGCGCGATACTCCCAGGGAAAAAGATCTGGGGCAGGTGCAGATAAGGCTGAGAGTAAGTTGGTTCTCACCGCAGCCCCTTCTCCCCCCCCCCCCCAACATGAGGACAGATCCTCAGCTGATGCACGTCAGAGTCGCTGCGTTGACTTCCACAGCACTGTGCTGCTCTACACCATCGGAGGATCTGGCCCGCCCTCTCCTACTACATATTTGTGCAGCTCCTAGCACAATGGGGCCCTGATCTCTGCTGGGGCCTTGAGACGAGCACAACCCTAAAATGCAGTCACTTCATACTGATAGGGCTAGAACCTTACTTTTTTAAATGAAAGCGTAGCTCTCCAGAGGTCATTTGGCACCCTATTTTCAGTGCCTTGGAGCCACTCTGCCTATCTGATGTTAGTATTCAAAATCTTAACAACTTTTAAAACTAAAAACTAAGTAACTAATCACTAGTCTTGGACACAATTAAGTGAGTCCTATAAAGTTTTATTTCTCTTCTTTCTGCTCCAAGGAGGTTAGAAGACCTGGATGCAGTAATTTCAGAGGATTGTAATAATTCTGGACAGCCTTGTCCAATTCCCTTCACATTGGGTAGTCAACGTCAACCTCAGTCCCAGACCTAACCTGCCAAAGTTGAGGCTGATATTCCTTTTGTTTGTGGAGTTTAGTGGCAGAGGAGTAGGTTGGGGGCAAAAAACGTCAGGATTATAACGGAAACTCCTTTGCAACCTTGACTGTGGAGTAGCCCCTGCATAATATTCCATCTCTAGAATGGAGTCTTACTCCACAGTCAGAGACAATGCTGCCATCTCCCTTCCCCCAGCAGTCTGAGAGACCCCATGGCACTCTGAAACCATACGGCTGTTCTGCCCGGACTGGTATCCATTAATCTACCTGGGCTTCCAAAAGTTAACCTTGTCCCCACGCTGCATCATGTGACTAACACAAGAGTAGTCTAAATGTTTTATTTCATCCCTTCAAATGAAACACAGTTCAACTGACCTGGAGTTGAGTCTAGCTGCATCTCCCCAGGGTTCCTGAGAACAGCTTCACCCAGCTGGCCATGGGATGTTGATGTTTCACACCAAGAACCTCTACAGATGACAAGGCCCTTATTAACCAGTGGGGTAATGAATGCTGATCACACCCAGTGCGCAATCAGCTTTGGCATGAAGATTGCTGTGGACTTCTCTCATTACTACCATTAACCATAGACTTCGTATAGAAAAAGGCATCCAGCTACACTGGCCAGTACCCCTCTGTTTTTACCTACATAGCACCAGGCTGCCCTGTACCCATTCATTATAAACTCTTTGGGGTAGGGTTTATGGCCTTTGTGTGACACATCCTACATACTGCACAGCACTGCTTATACACATGGCATAAACAACATCCTCCATACATCTGACCTAAATGTCCTTAAGTGGGAGGATGGCCTGCTGGCCATTGTACAAGCCTATGACTCAGGAGACCTGAATTCCCGGTGCTACCCCTGATTTACTCTGACATTGGGTGAGACACTTTCTCTTGCTGCCTCAGTTATCCTAATGTAAAATGCCTTGATAGAGTCATAGAATATCAGAGTTGGAAGGGACCTCAGGACGTCATCTAGTCGAACCCGGTGCTCAAAGCAGGACCAATCCCCAATTTTGGCCCCAGATCCCTAATGGCCAAGGATCGAACTCACAAACCTGGGTTTAGCAGGCCAATGTTCAAACCACTGAGCTATCCCCTGACTCCGCAAGTCCAGTTATGAAAAAAACTAGCCTTTTGAAGCTAGGCCCTGAAGAGAAGGTCTTTTTTTCCTGATTACGTGTTACAAAAGACCAAGATCTAAGACCTAAGCTGTATAACGAAATGACTGACCCACCCAGCCTTCCTTCTGGTTCCTGCTCTAAAGCCTGATAAGAACTAGTAACAACAAGGACAACTTAGTTGTGTGTGTCTGAAGGACTGACAGCTACCTGAGGTTGGAAGTGAGCTCTCATAAGCTTTTTAGCATGCCTGTAGGGTCTTCTACTGGGTTGGGTTTTTTTACATTTTCTCTGGAATGCTTTTACCTTAAGAATAAAAGGGTTTGCTTACAAACGATCGCACAGCTCTTTCTAACAGCCGTCAATGTACAACCACTGGCCTTTTAGGCAGTCTGGCTTGCTGGGGATTTCACAGTGTAAATCAGGGAGCTGTGCAGGGTTAGGAGGGAGTGAGATGCGGGTCTCTGCCCAGGAGAGTGAAGTGACCACTACTGGGCGGGGACTCACATTTCTCTCTCTTTCTCCCCCTCCTGACCTGGGTATTTCCAGGCTGTACAGTTCCCTTCCTACATTGTGAATGCCCCAGCAAGTCAGACTGCCTAAACAGGCCTGCTCTGCCTGCCTTCCTCAGAGGCTATACAGAGCATCAATGCTCATGGTTAAAGCCCACAAGGCTCCTTCTAAGAAGAACGTTTATTCTTAAGGTGAAAGCATTGCAGAGAAAACATGTAAAAAAAAATGTTAAGCACCTACATGCAGGCAACTAAGGTTACCAGGGATCACTCCAACTTCACAAAGGGCTCTGGCAGGTGAACAGTCCTTCAAACCCCACCAAGGTGCTTTCCTGTGGTTACATATTCTGTGTCAAGGAGGTTACGAACGAGCACCCCCATGAAAAGTTTAGTCCCTCCTTTAAACAACTTTGATCTGTGAATAGATAATTCATAGATAATTCATAGACACTGGGTTTCTCCTGAGGGTCATAGCTTCAAAGGCTGGGCTTTTGCATAACCGGGGGAGTTACCTTTGCACACACCTTCGCCTAGAGATATCCTGGAAAATCCACTTACCTTTAAAAGGTCACAGTATTTAAAATAGTCTTCTGAAGTGCATAACACATCTCACAGTTTAAATTAGGCAGGTCTCCTCCCTAGAGACGTTCCATGCAATGCCACAATAATACATATATATTTGCAGTTTTAATACAATGGCCTCCTAAGCTACCTAACCTTAATTCAATAAGGTTTGTCCAGGATATTGCCATAGTGGTCACAAATGCATACTGCCTTTCTAGCAGAATGTTTATTATATTCATCGTTGAAATATGAAGGGATGAAAGGTAATGGCTTAAATGCTGTCCAGGAAGTAAGTTAATGGGTTGCTCCAGGATGCCAGTCAAGCACCGTAGTTACAATCACTTTTTAAGGGGGGAGATGTGACAGATATAGCAATTTCCTGAAAGATCCTTGAAAGCCTGTACTGTATTAAGTTTATATATTATTGAGGGGTGGGACAGTATGTAATCTCTCTGGGGGGAGACGTGACAGATATTGCAACTCCATGTAGTATCTTTGGGGAGCCATTTCTACTCAGTGGGGCAGGGGGGAGGGTTATCACAGCTCCTCCAGAAACTAAAAACAGTGGTTGGTGATTACCTCACAGACAGGTATCACCACCTGGGGAGGCTCCCATATACTAATTCAAACTAGATTATCTAGAAACCTACACACAAAGGAATTTAGAATGAATAGCCTGAGTTTAAACTGACTCAGGGCCTCCTTTGTGATCCAGCAAACACACAGACCCTTCTGCCCAAGGAGGAGCCCTAGCCTTGAGGATGGGTTGGACAGGCTTGTCCTACCAGGTCCCATAAGAATGCTGTAGAGTTGCCAGCATTGGCTTTCAAAAATAAGGGACTGTTTTCTTAGTACCCCTGCCCCACCCCACCTCCAGCTATTAATTATTATTAATAATAATAATTATCAGCACTCACATTCACCGGGGTATTCCTTGCTGCTTTTTTGCAGCACTCTGCAACTCCCCCTCTTGCTGTACAGGGATGAAGTATGGGACAGGCAATTTTCTATTTAAATAAGGGACGTCCCTTGTATTATGTGACTCTTGGGAACCGTAGACAGCTGGGTAGCCGCTTGTGAGCTTTTAGCATGCATATAGGGTCTTTTTTTTTTTTTTTACATATTTTCTCTGTA